GGGCTCCCGGGGCCCCTTGGCGGGCCTGTACGTCAGCAGCGACGAGGAGGAAGCGCCGGGGCTGCAGCGCAAAGAGCAGGGGCAGGAAGATGAGCGGTGCGAGGATGAGGATGACGTGACAGCGGAGGAAGATGAGGGGCTAGAGGAGGAAGAGTCAGAGGAGGAAGATGAGAGGCTGCAGGAGGATGAGGAGGAGATGGAGGAGGAGGAGGAGGACATCTCTGGCACGTGCGAGGCGGGAGGCTGCCATGAGAGCGAGGGCAGCGGGAGCCCGGCCCCTGCGCAGGAGCAGGTACGGGCTGGACGTGGCGCAGGCCCTGGCACACAGCGCGTCCCTGGCACGAGCCAACCCTGCCGCACTGCTGCGTGGAGCGGGACGAGCTGCCCAGGCCCCGCAGGGTGCTGTAGTGGTGAAAGCTGCTGCCGCTGTGGATAATCCAGGTCCCAGCAACCACTAATACATGTTAGGAGGAGAGTTTCTTCCTTGCAGTAGAGTCATACCCGAAAGCAGGTGGTCTGTGGACTTGTCTGTGTGTACAAGATCAGCAAATAAAAGAAAAAAGGAAAGTTGAGATCTCCCCCATCTAGAATTTAGGAACAGGGACACAGCAAGATTAACCACAGCTGCTAAGATCATAAAGAGTTATGTTAAAACAGGTATCAGCTGCAAGCCAAAGTGTCACTTCTGCAGGGTGTAGCTAGCAGTTCTGCGTGTGTTGGGTTTGGTAGCAGTGAGAAAGGTAGAGCTCTCCACACCAGTTAGCCCATGTGCGTGAACTCAGCTCATGTGCAGCTGAAGCTGTCATCTCTGCAGGCATCTGTTGTCCAGCTGGGTGATAATGGAAAGCTAAGATATCAGCTTTAAGAAAAAGAAATACCCCTGTAAAGAGAACATGTTTTTGCTGCTATCAGCAGCAAACGTGTTCCTTTGGCATTAATTATTGCCTGGCAGAGTACATACTTAGCTCAAAGTTTGGGATGTTAAATTAAAATGTGTGCCTGTCTTCCAGTAGTTCAAATGCTGTTCTCCTCTGCTGTCTTTCTGTTTTCTTATTAAGGGGCTTAGTCACAGTGCTACGAAGTATGTCCCCCCTCAAGTGAGAGGAGCTCAGGAGGCACTAGATGACAAAAAGAGAGAAGAATTGGGAAGGCTGAAGAAAATGGTGAATGGTCTCATTAACAGGTAATGTAATAAGAGCAAGTCATTAATCTTCCTGGTTCTGCATGACACTGCTCATCATTCAAAATAAAAGTGACACGGATGTGACTTTCCCTTTGCAAACTGATTTTAAGTTGGCAATCATGTCTGTCATCCTTAATAATAATTATCTTTGGTAGAAATTCTTCAAAGTTGGTAGTTATAGAAGTTGAAAATGTCAAAAATAAATTTTAAGTTTGGGCTGAATTCCACACATTTGTTGCCTGTAAGTGCTAGGTATAATTCTCGACATGTCAGCAAAAATGTGCCCATGAAGTGTTAGATCCCTGTTGAATCCTTACTACATACTGTCAAAAACATATCTACAATATATTGTTTAAACAGCTGAAGAACAGAACAAGTTTTTACACACCAATGTGGTTTAGTTTTAAAGTATTCCTAAAATATAAAATCTAACAGCCCTTTCTTTAGGCTATATTGTGAATTCTGTGTATAATATCCTGCTGTAAAATGAACACTATAGTATGCAGTGTGTTCAGTTACTCAGAATTTGCTGTACCTTTATTTGATATGTTAGAAAAGCATGAAGTTTTTTCATGCTTATTTCTTCCAAAGAACATGATTTACCACAGTTAGAACTGCTGGTATAGAACCAGTTTCATAAAGCTGCTCAGTTTAACAGTAACCCCATTGACAGTACTCAGCAAATACTGCAGCTGTTACATTTTCACATGTAAATATTTTCTAAAGAGAACAATTAAATGTTTTCCACCGTTCTCAGATTAGTGGACAAGGTAGAATACAGAAGGTCATCTTTTCACTCTTTAGAGAAACTAGGGGAAATTACAAAAAAAAAAAAAAGGAAAGGTCAGATTAAAATCATAGAGCTATGCAGAGAGAAGAATAATAAACTTTTGGGTTTTGTTTCTGGCTAGGTTGAGTGAACCAAATTTGCCTTCCATCAGTGGCCAGCTGGAAGAACTCTACATGGCCAACAGTAGAAAGGACATGAATGAAACTCTAACAGATATTCTCATGAGTGCTTGTGTTACTGCAGCTGCAATGCCTGCCAGGCTGGTGATGGAGCATGTCCTTTTGGTCAGCATCCTTCATTACACTGTAGGAATTGAGGTAATTCTTGTGGCTGGGACTATGTTTTATAATGCATATCATGCAATGCATATTCCTTGGCGTTGTGATTAGATTGTCTTGGTGGTGCTGTATAGTGATGTTGTTGCAAAAGCATCACTTATGTCATTAAAATCATAAATACTTCTTTCTACATTCATTTATAGTATTGAATTTCTTTAAGCCTCAGGTTTTCTCATGTTTAATTACACTAATCTGTTGCTATTCTCTTGCATATAGCAGGACATCCTTCATAAATTAAATGTATCCAAATATGGAAAGCTTTGCGGTTAAAGAAATCCGTTTGCATCATTAGAGATTCTTTAAAGCCCAGTCATTTTTGCTTACTATTTTTGGGGGGTTTTTTTGTTGTTTTGGCTTGCTATTTTGCTTACTAGTAGAAGGTGAAACCAACAATGTCAAAGGCAAGATTTTAGCTAATTCCAATGAACCATCTTTCAAGACATTGAGATGTTTCAACATAATGTTCCCATCAGGTTATAGTCTTGTTCTACTTAGCTTTAGAATTAACTTCATGTTGAAATTTAAAAATATACCTCACAATAGATAGGTGATATCCAGGCTGCCTATAGCAGTGAGACTGCCACAGTTTCTGAGTCTGCACTGTTTGAATACATTAGAAAGACTTTTTTTTTTTTTTTAATAAACCTAGCTGCACAAAACTATGATAATGTAACACAGGTGCATTTAAAATTAGTTCAAGCAATGGAGAAGCTGGGGTCCCAATAGCTTTGTTTTTACAATTGTACAGTTTTGGTGTTGGGTGAAGCTTAAGCCTGAGCTGTTCAAGACTTAGTCAATACAATCAGTGCCACTATGAGAACATCAGGTTTACACAGGATCAGTCAGCAGATGTTAGCACAGTAACAACGGGGGTGTTTTTTCTTCTTCATACCTTAGCAATAATGGGCTGATTATCCATCTGAGTCTATTTTGCTGTGCTTTTCTGTTTCATTCTTTATCATCAATTTTCTCTTTGTAAATACAAAGGTGAAGGTTCCAAAATTATCCCCACTGAAAAACCAGCCTCAATCATGCTCAGTAACTGGGAGAACATGGTATGTTGGTGGCTGTGTTACACTTTCGTTTTTTGTTTTGTTTTGTTTTCCCTTCTTCTTTATTAAGTATTTTATCCTGGAATGCTAAACTCTGGTACAGTCGATTTTTGGACATGCAGATTTTAATGAAAGAATGACCTGCAATCGCAGCAGGCTGACCAGGCAGCTGAGAGGATGCTAGTTTGTGTTAGTGAAAACTGTGTGTGTTCTGAGATGAGTGCCCTGATTTCATGACATTTACTTTTCTCGCACAGATTTTAAAAGGCAGCTGGGTGACATGTGTGAGCTATAAGATACAGTTTTGGAAGATGTCATGCTTACAGTTTAGATATTATTCATTTAAGTGTATAGCATCCATATTGGTTAAGAGGAGCGATAGTATTGCTTTAAATGCATCCTATATTGATTTTGTCCTTAAAATTATTGTTTTGGGGATGTTTTTAAAATCTACTAATGTTTAATTGCATGGATTTTCTTTCTTCCCCCTTTTTTTTTTTTTTTTTTTCCTCCTTACTGGAACTATCGATAGGTTGGTGCTCACTTTTTGGAAGCTGTGGTGAAGAAATTTGATGAGCTCTATAAAAGTGATGCTGAAGGAAAAGAATGTGAAAATCTGTTTGCTTTGATTGCCCACCTGTATAACTTCCACGTGGTTCATTCCCTCCTGATCTTTGATCTGCTGAAGAGGCTTGTTAGCACGTTCACAGAAAAGGATATTGAGTTGATTTTGTTTCTTCTGAAAAATGTGGGCTTCTCCTTAAGAAAAGATGATCCGTTGGCTTTGAAGGAGCTGATCAGTGAAGCACAGAGCAAAGCAAATGCGGTGGAGAAGAAACTTCAGGATCAGACTAGGGTACGCGCGAGGTGAAAGATTTTCTGTTCTCAAGAGACTTCAATGAGTGCTTAGTTAAGTGTGTTAATTTAACAATATTCATGCACTACTCTTGTTATTCTAAGTTACCATCAGTTCCAGGTGTTGTGCTCAGTTCCTTTGTTTTGTGAGTTTTTCTCCCTTATTTCTCTGAACACAGCCACATGCTTCTAGTGGGTGTGACTCCGTGGGTATTATACAATGAACATTTCTTCTGTTTCATGATGCTTGTACACCTCAGAAAACGATGACTGAGGCTATTCATTTGTTTGTTTAGCAGATTAAGCCTTGAACTGATGCTTGAACACAAACAAAGATAATGGGAGTTAAAGTACACATTGTTCTCTGAAATTTAGATCACTTGAACACAAACGCGATGTACGTTGCCAGCTGAGCTGCATATTCTCACAGAGCAGTAATTCCAAGGCACACTTTCCCCTTTATCAAGTAAACTTCCTCAGCATATGATTCACAACAGCACTTCTTGTCCCAGTAGGTTCGTTTTATGCTGGAGACTATGTTGGCCCTGAGGAACAACGACATGCGTAAGATTCCTGGTTATGATCCTGAACCAGTTGAAAAACTCCGTAAATTGCAACGAACACTGGTAAGAACCTTCTGCACGTGTAGTACAGCTGTTCTTAAAGTATATGTTCAGAAACTAAAATATATATATATGGAGAATTAATGACCTGTGAATAGCACTTTGGAATTCATTTAATGCTCTAGAATTCCTTTAGAGAGAGGAAAAAAATTGTTTCACTTGATTGGGGATTTTGAGATGTCTACAAGAGTCCAACATAAAGTGCATAAAAGTAACTGTGTGTCCCATTGGATTGGGAACTGATTCTTTTTCAGTAGAGTTGAATCTAATGCTAGACTCTGTGTATTTCACCTCCAAAATTGCACTACTTATCAACCACATATAGAAAATTTTGCTTTTGTGACACTTGGTGTAAGTACAGGATGTGCAGGTTGGCAATAATAGATCATGCAAAAATAAGCTAAGTAACCTACTTCTGTAGTTTGTTTTGGTTTCAAACAACTCTTAGGCTGTCTTGCTGATACTACAAAACTTATCAGGATTTTATTGTGTTATTTTATTTGATCAGAAATTTTTTACTAGGAAGATCAATTTTCATTTTTAACAAAATTTTAATTCTAATCAGGTTTTCGGATTAGAAGATGGCCACTTCTTAACTGAAGCCTCTAAGCATAGATTAAAGGACCGTTTTATACTTGAGGAATTGGATTATATGGAAAACTTATACATTCTTTTCAGTTTACTGCTTAAAAGAAGAGGTTCTGAGAAACAACAGGCAAAGACCTTTATGCAGATAGTTAAGTGGTGCTGTTATCTTAAAGCATGTGTTTTTGTAAAAAAGTGTTTCAGCTAAAAGCTTCTGGGTTTTTGATTTTGTTATTCAAGGTTCACAACAGTGGCTCTGGAAAAGACACTCAGCTCCGTGTCTCCCTAGAGTCGCTGCTCAGTGCTGATAAGGTTGGTCGCTGGTGGATCGTGGGCTCAGCGTGGAGTGGAGCACCAATGATAGATGATACAAACAACAAGACTCAGCAAAAACTCCATATAGGAAAGGTAAACGGAAGCGATACCAGTCCCAGTGTTGGCAGAAGTATTTTGAATGTTCTTGACTCAGGTGGGCAAGCTCGTTTCAGAGCCCACCAAAACAAACGATGACTCTCGTAAGATTTAGCCTTTAGATTGTAAAACCTACTCTTAGAATTTTTTTAAAAATGCACCTGTCCTTTCTGACATCTGTTATTACAAATATTACAAAACTGCTTCTTTCTAACCCTGTGGAATTACAAAAGTAACTTCTTAGATGAAGTGGAAGAGACTTGATTTACAGTGGATTGGTAGCATGAAATCTTACACAGTAGAGTTGTCTGCCAATGAGTGGCATGTGTCTGAGCAGATGCTAAAATCTACGTAGTGAGATGGTCACTTGCCTTTAGAGAAGCATTTCTTGAAAATAATTGGCACAATTATACTAGATTAACTTAGTAGAAAGCAAGCTCCTGATCATTTGCATCCCTCTTCTGGGTGAAAACTCTGGACTTTTTGGTTGATGCTTCACTATTCCCTGGAGATCATCATCAAAAGTCATATTAGAAGTTGTGATAAAATTGCTTTCTTAAAGCAAGCGTAAATAAAAGAGCATGAAAAATATTTTTCTATTTGTTTTTCAGGTGAGTTCAAAAATAATGGCACTTGCTCGTAAGCAGAGAATGAACACTGATATCAGAAGAGGTATTTTTTGTGTCTTGATGACAAGCGAAGACTTCCTGGATGCCTTTGAAAAGCTTCTGAAGTAAGTGCAGATGATGACAGAGCAAAGTCCAGGGTTAGAAAGCGTTCCTTGGGTTGGAAAAATAGATGATGTTGGTCTGGAGCAGAGGGAATTTTTGCAGTTGCAGTTACGAGTGTCGAACTGCTAGCGCAATTGAAGGAGCACGGAGCTTGGCATTCACATGAGGATGGAGTAAGAGGATTAAGGGAGGGGGATCAAAGTCCTCATGTGAGTAAGGGCTGCCTGGGGAGCAAGAAGAGGTGACTGGCAATCAGAGGAAAGGAATAGCCCTCGTTAGTGTCACGTATATTTAGAACTGTGACAACATCTTCCAAGCCTCAGTGTTCTTTACAGGGGCCATGGGGATCCCAGTCCAACATAGGAAGGTTTATTGCAGGCTTATTTCCTCACAGAGACAGCCCCCAAGCCCCTTTTTGGACATCTCCTAGTCTTGTGGATTCCTTTCCTGGTGCCTCTTCTTCGCTGCTTGCCCCCTCTTGCTGCCATGCTCAGCCACCTTGGCCACTTCTGTCCAAACTTGCATAACCTGATAATGTTTTAGCACCTCCACTTCCACTCTGCAGAGTTTATTAACATTGGATTTGCTCATGTTAAGACTGGTTCTCCTACTTTTTGACAAGCAGCTTTTTAGAAGCTGATGTGATCAGCAAAGAGCTCCAATTAAACTATTCTTCCTGGCTGTAAGATGCTAATTTTAAGTTTGTAGTAACTGGGAGGGGAGAGATCGGGTCTGGATTCTTCTGTTGCAGCTTTGTAATTCAAGAGAGTTGTCCTATCAGGATGGCATTCAATTATTTAATTTGCTAACCAAACCAAAACAGACTTTGTAATAAAGTCAACTAATATTTGATTAAATGCCACTTGTGCAAAATACAGCTTAGATTTAAGACTGATGGAGTCATTCCAATATCTTAATATGGCCTGTTCAATTAAAAGAAATTAGCTGCTGCTGCAGTTCTTGCCAAGGCCGAGTAGTTCCATTTGCAAATTGATCCTTGACTCTTCTCCTTGCTGTTTAAACCAGTATACAAATCTGTATACACACAGACCTGGCAGAAGAAGTGTGTCTGCAGGTTGCCTACTATGTGTTGAAGCTGATATTTATACAGCAAATGCTCAGGGAGAGGAATTCTCAAATCATCCTGCATCTGACAGAGAATAATGCAAAGTACACAGAATCATCAGCAAAGGCATTAAAAATTTAATGTGAACATCCTTGCCAAAGTGCACAGGAATTTATGTTTGTATGTTTGGTGTCAGGCTCTTGAAGTACACGAGAAGTACATGTACTTTTAAGTGTGCTTGTTGATTTATCTGCTGTTGGACCTCTGAAAGAGTCGAGCTGTGTTCAATGGCAGTTCACAGCACTCTAAAGCCAGGCTGTTTTTTCTGTCTTTCTCCTCCCAGCAAATGAAGGGGATGAGTTTGTAGCCAGAACAGCCCCATGAAGTGGCTCAACCTCTCGTTGCAGAAGTGCCAGTGAGAAGGGGAGGTTGGGGGTATGTTCTGGGGATGCAGAGGACAGTGAGACTTGATCCATTTAAGCAGCTGAAAGTCCACTCACTTGGCCACAGCTGCCTTTAGTTGCTCTGTAACTAAATCGGGTAGAATTTGGCTGATGGGAGTGAGAGGACAGCACTGGCCTGGCAGTTAGTGATGTATCCTTGTTGGAGAGCAAAGCCTGAAGTCGTCACTGCTCATTAGCAATCAACCTGTAAATTAGCCCAGATTTTCATGACTTTTTGGGTAACATTTTTTCCTAAATGGCAATATTTTCTCTGTAAATCTGGTATGTATCTGTGATCCAATGCAACAACAGATGTGTGGAGGGGAGCACAACCCACAGAGATTTGACACAAGCCCTGGCAGTCTGTGCTCTGCAATCTGCAGGTTGAGTTCCAGTGGAGTCTAATTTCCTTAGAAAATACCTTTGCATTTACTAAGGCCAGCTGAAACTTGAGCTTGAAGCAAAGAGAATATTGTTGCTTGACATTTTTCAGATTATAATATTAAGTATTTTTCATGTTAATTGGTTTTAATGCTGGCAGGCATTTGACAGCACTGGAAACAAAACCATGTTATTCACCAAACAGGCACGTTGCGAGCTGGTTGCCCTTTCCCAGCCTGCTTTCAGAGTACTCATATTTAAGTGTGAAGGCTCTGGAGTCCTCGGTCTTTATGCAGAGGCAGCCAGCAGAGGTACCCAGTGATTCCTACTATTTTCTTCAAGATTTTTTTCTGAAGTAGCTTGAAATCACTACTCCATCTTAGGCTACTGTCTTACAGTGATAATTTGAAGTATTGCCTAACACAGAGTTGAATTGATGAATACTCTTACCAATTTAATTTTAAAAAAACACCTTATTTTTCTAATCACTAGTAAGTATCAGAGAAGTGAAGAGTTCTGGACTTATCTTTCTCGAGGGGTTAATACTAATTCAAAGATTTTCTTTTCTTTCCTGTGACCACAGGTACAAGTGTGAGACAACCCAAGTAGCATCCTACAGGTTTTATAAGCATGAAGTGGGCTGTGTTTTCACCTGGTTATACTTGTATTATTCTGCTCCTGACCTTGCAGTCTTGGTTTAGCACTGGTACTACTGTAGCATTGCTGTGCAGGGTGTTAGGTTTGCCTACAGTTGAGCAGTTTGCTTCCATTTTGTGTTAAGGGTTTTGTGAAAACTAGAACTGAGTGTGACTTTTTATTTTTCCCTCTTATTAGTTCATTAACTGTGGCTCCTATTTTTGACAGTTGCTTTTCGTTACTAAACTACTTTTATTCTCTTAGGCTTGGACTGAAAGATCAGCAGGAGAGAGAAATTGTTCACGTTACCCTTCACTGCTGCTTACAGGAGAAAATATATAACCCCTTCTATGCATTTTTGGCTAGCAAGTTCTGTGGATATGAAAGACGATTCCAGGTGAAGAAAGATCATTTTGTGCTTTGTTGTGGTGTCATCATAGTGTTTAGAAAGACAGTCATTAAATACCTGAGTGTAGATAACTACATATTAAGATCTTGATCCTAAAAAAAATATGCTGGGGTACATAGGCATTCAGTAGGGCACACTCATGGTCAGCTCTATTTAGGAGACAAAATAACTGCTGCAATAGGTTTATCTTTTTCTATTTTACACACATTAAAAAGAATAAGAGTCTCAGTAGAACATCTGTTAATCAGGGGATGTTCATAAAGAACAGAAGGCAAAAAGATTTTGCGTTATTAGTTGTTCAAATGGTTGCTTGATCTGTCGTGTTTGCTGTCTTGCTGCCTAGATGACATTCCAGTTTAGTATTTGGGACAAAATCCGAGACTTGGGAAACCTCTCAGCCACTGCTGTCTCCAATTTGGTTTCACTGTTAGTTCACTTGTTACGGACCAAGTCTTTGCCACTGTCGGTTCTTAAGGTTGGTGTGTTTCTCCTCAAAGCATTTCTGTGCTCTCTTTGTATTTGCTAGTTATGTGGAAAGGAGGTGTTCTGTGTTGCCTCGCTACTGATTTAGCTGTTTGTGTGCATAAGCTAAAACGAAAGCTATCCTAAAATTACCAACTTAATAAGCAAGTGTTTTAATACTCCCAATGCTGATGTTAGTTTTCCCTGGCAATCTATGGAAAACCAGATGCTGGGGTGTCACAAGCATGTAGAGATCCTGGAGAACGTGCTACAGAAGCATCCTGTTATAAAAAATCCCCAGAGATGACTTGAGTCTAGCAAGGCCTCAGCAGCCCTGACTTGCCACCCTCTGTGCTAGTTCCCAGTGGCTCCTGCACGAGCCCTGGGGGTTTGTGTCACGCAGCTGCACGTCTAATAGGGGAGGAAGGCTCTGCTGCTGCAGTGCCAAACCTGGAGAACCACCTTAGGCTTCTCTCAGGTGTTTGTTTTTACAGAATACAGGGTTTGGAACCAAGACCCCTGCATTATCAGGCTCTGTCAGTGGTTTTTATGCCACACTCTTTAGCCAGTGTTGATTTTTATAGAACAGACAGAAGTCTCTTGAATGCTTGGATTTCAGAATGAGAGATGTGGAGAGTTTATTTCAAACAGTAATTGAAACATATCAAGCAGACAGTATTCTATGTTGTCCTCAACTTTCAAGTATTTATTTTCCTGGAAAAAAGTAATCCTGCTATTTGGATACTACTAGACAGGTTATTTCTTAGTAACTTCACTGCTTCCTTATTGTTTGGCTTTGGGGCCAAGTTCTCACCTTCCTGTCAAACTTCAGACCCTGTGTGTTAGGGAGAGCAGTCGACGTGCTAAAAGCTGTTCATGGTAAAGAGTTTGGTTATTTGAAATAGTAGAATTGTTTTCTCTATATATTGTTAACTAGGTAATTGAATTCAGCGAACTAGATAAACCCAACGTCCGTTTCCTGCGACAAGTATTAAGCATGCTGTTAATCAAAGCAGATGCTGAAGATCTTCATGACATTTTTGGGAGGTAAGTGATCAGAGAGATCTCCAGGAAACCCTTGGTGGTGAGTAGTGATTATACAGATAGAGGTTTGCCTATTTTATTCTCCAAATACCAGCTGTCCCTTAAAAGTAAGGGGCAGGGGGGGAGGTGGATATGTAATTTATGTGTTAATACAGAATCTGTTATAGATATGTGTGTAATATCTTAAACAAAATAAGTAAGGCTTTCAGATACTGAGTGTATCATTTTGGTCATTGGATTCTTGTGAGCAGAACTCTACTTCTTTCCTTACTGCTTTACCATATATGTGTTGAGATGCTGTCTCCCAGCGGGGACTCACAAATTTCTTTTGTGTAAGGAGAAAAATGCTGATGAAGGAAAGATTGAGGTTTTGGAGGGTTGTTTATTTTTCAGATTTTATCACTGCCGAAATGTTTAGCATGCAATCTAAGAGCGATTTCTATTTTTTGGAAACAGTTCAACCAAAATAAAGTTACTTTTTACTAGTTGTCACAAATAAACTCAAACCAGGGGGAGCAGCTGATAAGCTGGAGGAGGACACAGCTACTAGTCAGTTGTGAGTGGGTGCAGCAGGGGTCTGTCCTGACAAACCCTTCTGTGATTACATGGTTTTGCTGTATTAAACTTGCAGCATTGTGTTAGTTAGGAAAGGTGGGTGATGTTGTTTCAACCATTGTGCTGAAACACAGGGAAGTTCAACAGGGTGTTTGCCTCAGGCTTGGCTGTAATGTAGTTGTTTACATAAAGCAATTCAAACACTCTAATATTCCATTTTATTGTCGAGGACCAATTGCAGATTGAGTGTGTTGGGCCATTTGCCAAAACAGCTTACTGTTAGTTTAAACTTACAGTTAGTTTGAAAGCTTCTTCAGAAAAGCTTCTTTTTTTAATAACTTGATTATTTTTTTACTATGACTCTACTTGAAGAATAAATTTTAAAAAATGGCAATGGAAGACTAATACTATTTTTCATCTGTATCTTTACAGGATATCTGAGAACCCCAAATTGGGAATGCTGAGGGAAGGTTTGAAGCTTTTCCTTTCCCACTTCTTACTGAAAAATGTAGAAGCCCACAAAAGTGGTGAGGAGGCTGACTTGTTAAAAGAGAGAGTGGAACTAGCAAGCAAAGCTTTGCAATCAAAAGAACCCAAGTTGAAACTATAATTCTGGTTTTCCAATAAAACACCTGTGTGGAAAAACTAGGTCTACATGAGGATACAAAGCTTTACAGTAGTCTTTCAAAAAACTGAGAATGAGGGGAACGGATTTTGCTGTAAAGGATCTGGTGTTTTGATGTAAACAGTTGCTTTGCTCTACATGCTAGTGAAGGTGATACGGGGGCTTTCTGAAGAAAGGGGAAATGTATTTTTTGTAATGTGCCTTTTCTGTACCTGTACTTCATCTCAATAGTTCACATCTAGAGAAGAGGCTTAATTTCTCTTCAACTCTATTCCCAGTCAGCAGTAGGGTTCAGCATTGGATATGTTAACCTTTCTTTTAAGAAAAAAAGAAAGTATATATGTGTGTGTGTGTATATTATATATATGCATATATATATATATATATGTATATATATGTATATATGTGTATATATATATATATATAAAACACACATAGTGGTCAGTATTCTACAGTTTTTACCTGGAGCTGTTAATAACTGGTCATTGTATTTCGAGCAAAGAATAAGCCACTAGATGGCAGAAGTACTGGTGAGTCAGTCTTGGAAGAAATTAACTTTTTTTTTTAGAAAAAAAGTGTTGAATATATTGATTCTAATTCTGTGAATTGTTTACATGACTGTGGGTCAGAAGGAGATCTGCAGCTGAATTCATGAAGTAAAAAAAACTGAAGATCTGACTTTGCCCAATTATACTGGGTTTAAAGCTCACAGCATAGATTTATGCTATATTCACCTGCTTTTCTCAGCTTTAAAGTTGGGAGTTATCAGTCTTGCTGCTTGTGATAATCAGGTTTTACTAGACATAAAGACTAAGATCATTATCAGCCTTTTGATAAGAAAATCCTTTCTCTTGCTTTCACTTTCCACTCGAGCATTTAACTAATGCACTTTTCTTTGTGTAGCAGTATGGAGTGGTCTGCTTCTTTTGTTGCCTTACAACCAGGTATTAAACTACCGCCTCCTGGGAGCATTGCTGTTTGTGTCACCTTTATTTTAGGGGTAGTCAGGAGGGAATGACTTTAAATGGCAGGGAAAATACTTGGCTTCTGGGTGGCAGTATGTAGTGCACCTATATAATTTGTCTGCACTAAAAGCCTGTTTCTGCGAGCAGGTTTGTTCGCTGTTCAAGAGTCCAGGCACCTCTGGTGCCTCTGGTTGTATTTGACACCAAGTGATCAATTCTGCTCCTTTGAACTTGTCCCGCTTACACCTCAGCTCTGCAGCAAAAGAGCTGGTCAGGACATTGAATCAGAGCGATGGTTCGGGAATAGTTCTGCTTACTCAATTGGCAAAGTAGCATTTTTAGGAAGCGAAGCATCTCCCCAGCATCCCTAGAGATGTTTTTCTGGCCTATTTTTTCCTGGGGGGAGAACAGGTTTTAGGGAGTGCATCCTGCCCTCAGCAGGGCTTGCTCTCAAAGTCCAAGGTTACAGCCGGGAGGCAACCACTAACCTAGAAGAGACCCCTAGCAAAAGAGCAGCGTGAGATGCTTCCTGCAGCCAATATCAGACAGTTTTTAGGTGCTAAAATAAAATAGCTGCTTTCTCCCAGTTGGATTTCACATGCGAGAGGAAAAACAGAGGAGAAAAAAAATAGAAATATCTCTAACAAAACCAATTAATAGAGCAATATGGGCAGCAGAAGCACTGGCGCTGTGTTTTGCCTGCATTTCTGTCTGACGCATCAGTCACAGCTTTGTGTGTACGAACAGTTCCTTTGCCAGCAGCTGTGCCAAACCTCGTATTTTAGCTTTTGAAGCTGAACTTGGGTGAAGAAAATCTGTACAAGCTGCTGGAGATCGTGGCTGCAGTGCAACGCGTGGGACCATGGTAAGTGAAAATCAATCCCGCTGGACCACAGCAACCGCCTAATTAATTACATTTATTTTTGCAGCAGTTGAGGGAGAACCCGGAGCTTCAACATGTTTGTGGTTTAATAACATATAAAGTGAAACACGTTGCTCCAGCGGGGAGGTGGAGGCAACTCTGCTCTTAAAGACAGATCTTAAGTGATCTTTGCAGTGCGGCAGTTCCTTGCTCGGTGATCAGGCCTGAACACCCTTTGCTGCCCATGGAAATAGGGTTTTATGGGCCTGAATCTCCTCCCTTGCTGCAGCTGCCTGAGGCAGCGCGAAGCGGGTGCCGCTGTGCAGTTAACAGAGATGGTTTCCACCTTAGATCTTAAGATTACAATCACTGGGTTTTTTAAACTGAAAATTAATTAGTATTCCCAAAAACTCGCACAGTTGGTTACTTCAGCCACTCCTTCCTTTCTGCGGAAAACAGATTTAACCTTTCTGCAGCTTTTAGTTTGATCGTGTTTATGTATAAGCATGAATTTTATTGAAAAACGAGTTCAGAAGCAAAGCGGCCCAAGTGGTGCCAGCGTGTGAGGAAGCGGCCACAGTACAAGGAACAGAGGCTTTGGGTGGCACAAACTGACTGGGGAAAACGTTGTCAAATAGAAATGTGGCAGTTCCTGGATTAACAAGAGTTGAGGAGAGAGAAGCTGAGATAATATTACATATTTTGTTCCTCATATGGAAAAAAACTCGTCCCTGGCAAAGCCAGCATTACCGAAGCATCTCCCTACAGCAGGGTGCTCGGAGGCCTCCCTATGAGGGCAGCGAGCGCTGAGCACAGGCAGACGCTGCCGGAGAAGCTGGGGAAACAAACAGAGTTAAAATGCTGGGTTTTATATCTGATGAACTGAGTTCAGCAGACCCCAGTGTTGAGGGCTTTCTTCCTGCTGGATATTAGTTGCTTAGTCGAAGTCAAAATGGCAGAAGAAATGAGCAGAAAATGACTTTGCATCGATAAAAATAAGCTAAACTGGGGAAACAAACAGGTAGAGCTAAAATGCTGGGTTTTATATCTGATGAACTGAGTTCAGCAGACTATTTCAATTCTCTTTTAAGCAAAGTATAGTATCCACTCGCAGCTCTTATCGCCGTTTCGCTTCTCGTTTGCCTTTAAGCCGGACAATCCTCTCTTCGACTTTCTCTGTTTTTTGTATCAGAGCTACCAGGGCAGCACAGTCTGGTTTTCAGCTTTGGCCGGGCCATTAGAGGGATAAATCACGGCCAGACCCCCGTTCCGCAACGTGCGGCTCAGGCATCGCTCGCGCCCCGTCCGTGTTCCGCCGCGGGGGAGAGGCTCCGTGGAGTGAGTGTGGGCCCCTGTGCGCGGACGCGCCTGGTCCCCTGGTGAGATGGAGCAGCCTCGAGCCTTCATGTCAACAAGACGGTTTGATCCGTGGGGCCGCTTTTCCAAAGGGGTCGTTTTATCTGGGACTTCTTGGATGGCTCCGAGCTCAGGAAATGGTAGATAAAGCCCTATGAGTCTTTTACCATCTGCTGCTGCTCGTGATTTCATCCGCAGGAGCTTTCAGGTTTAGCAGGAGGCCGGTGGGCGCTGCAGCTGCCGCCCAACGCCGCCACGATCCGCGTTCCTGCTTCAACGTAAGTGAATTACAGTAGCCCTCCCCTCGTGTCGCTGCACGCACGGTGCCGGGGCGGATATCACGTGCTCTCCTAAACTCCTGAAGGAAATGGAATAAACATCTAGCGCGAGTCCCCTTGGAAGGAGCCAGCTGGCACTGAGGGTTTTGTGAAACTCCTGTCGTCGGACAAACACTTCGCGCGTGAGAAACAGCTCACGTCTTGTGTGCGGATGGCTCCAAAGGAAAATCCAGAGAGCCTGAGGAACGTGATGCAGCTGGGCTGGGGGAGACAGAGGGAAGCGGCACACAGAGCCCTTGGAGCCTTTTTCCAGGCGTGCGTCTTCGCCACAGCGTCTACCGCTTAGCCACTGCTGCCTTCAGAGCTGGAGGGACTTTTTTTCCTCTTAATGCTGTGATTCAGTTCTCCCTTTAAAAGAAGTTGGCCTGGTGATTTTTGATACTCAGATTTTCCAGGCAGTGTGTTTTGCTGTAGATGAGGGTGGAAGGGAGCCTGTTTCCCCCAGAGTTTTCCAGCAGACACAGGACCATGCAGGTACTGCAGGGCATGAGCAGGAAGCAGCAGATGAAGGTGTAAAAAGCTCCTGCGAAGCAGAAAAGCCGCCTACAGTGCCACAAGCAGCTCCCCTACCCCCAGTCTGGGTGCTGCTTCCTTGTGCGGCTCAAAGGTGAAGCCCTGGAAAAAACAGGCATGAGGAAAGTGAGTGCAGGGAAGGGAGAAGGAGGCTGCGGTGACGGCAGCGCTGCTGGCTGGAGCCCTTGGATCGCTGCCTGCGTCGGGCCTGGCAGGAGCGCGGTGATTAACAGCGCCGGCTGCGGAGACCCGTTCTGTAAAATGAAACCGCCCCTCGCTGCGGCGGCCGTGGCACGGACTCCATAGCTGCAGCGCACGCGGCCAGCAGGACAGCCCTGAGCCTCCACAGCACCCGCAGGCCGGAGCCGCCGCAGGCCGGAGCCGCCGCAGGCCTCAGCCCCGGGAAGGGCTCCTGGGATCCCCCACGAGGCCGGAGCTGCCCCAGGCCGGGGGAGCTGCTCCAGCTCCCCACGCCTTGCCCTGCTCCCCACGCCTGTTCCTGGGCTGTGTCTGCGGTGCTGCCCGCACAGGGAGCTGCTCTGGCCGATGGGCCCACATGGCCCCTGCTCCTGCAGGCACAGAAATGGGGTAAACCTCCCAGAAAAGACAGAACTGCCCCCTGTGCTCCGGCACATCCCAAGCCCGCTTTAGCTGTGATCCCGATGGCACATGGGGAGCCGTGACACCAAGAGCGCCCAAGGTCTGGGGCTGTTCATCCCTTCCATCCTTGGCTCTGTGCTGCAGCCGGTGGGATCCAAGCAGCCCACCAAGAAGTAGGTCCAGCATGTGGAAACTGGCTCAACAGCAAAGAATGAGCATTTCAAAAATGAGCACGGAGCAGGGTGCAGGGTCCTCCTGCAGCCCGGAGCAAAACTGGATGTGAATCCCTGGGTTTGGGGAGAGTCTAACACTTTGGGCTTCAGAAATAATCAAGGTACCTTCTCCCGGAGAAGCATTTTGTTCCCAGAAGTTCCACAGAGAATTGGAGGGGGATTATATA